TATTGCACTTTGTTGACCCTCTAACTTTCATTATATTTCCCTGCATTGTTGGGAATTCTTGTCTGTTGCAGATTTTTTTATGCAGTGGGAGGCTGATATTTGGACCAGATGCTAGATCGCTTTCAGTGTCTGTATTGCTTATACTTGTGCCCACAGTTATCTTTTGCACCTTTGTAGCAAGACATCTTCTCCATAAGTTCTCTTCGTATAATGCTGGATATGCAATTCTGGTGGTAGCCATCATCTTTACCATCTATGTTAGTCATCTAAACTTTTATTTATGTTATTTTAAGCTTTAGATTGTATTCCAATCACTTAATTAATTTATTTATTTATTTATTTTTTGGGTGAGATGAAACATTTGCTGAATCAATGATTCAAATGTACCTGGAGGGTCTGAGAATGTAGGGGTCTGCACATGTTTTCAGGTTTAAATGATCACTATTTGATTTAAAACATGACTAAATGAATTCTCTATTTATCATGGAGGAATCCTCATATTTTCAGTCTGAATTGAGCATTATTCGGCTGACTTTTAAACTATCTGCCTGGATTTGGTACTCGGCTATAGACTATACTGGTTTGTAACACAGACATGGGTACAGGCTCTGGCATACACACTCACTTACACCATGCTATCCTCTTTCACTTCCCTGTTGCTCATGGTTTTCATGTGGAATATATGGATGAATATATATATTTAGTATATCCCTCTGCTTGCTTAGACTCTGAAGTTTGGAAGAGTCCAGGTGTTACAAAAATGTTAGATAATGGGTTTGTAATGTACCTGAAGCATTATATGGGTTAATCAGTTAATGAACCTTGCACTTTTAGCCCCAAGTATGAAAAAAATTTAAGTAATAAAATAAACGCTTACTTGATAGCTTTGAAAGTTTGAAAGACCCTGGTTGCTCACCTTTCTCTGAGGGTCCGGGAATCATTGCCTTTTGTTCTCAATATAGTGTTTTAGTGCTTACATTAAGAGAAAGGTGGTAGATCTGAAATCTGAGTAATCAATTGAAAGGTGACAGGTAGAGAACCTGAGGATTTTGATCATTTCAGAGAGCCACTTCAGTGGTGAGATTCTTTTGTTTATGGTTGAACTAATTCAGCATTGACAGAGATAGAGAGCATGTCGATTTGGGGGTGTGGGGGGCGTAGTTGAAAGTTAATATTTCACCATTTCTGGTTTCAGTTTTTGTTTCTGTTTCCATTTCTATATTTATAAGTTTCTGTGTCAGTGCTGCAAATGTTATAGAAGTCCATTTTTTTTTGTGTGCCTTTGGCAATGTGGCATTTTTGGTTGATTTTATTACCCTGCTGATTATGACAGGTATTGGTACTTCTTTTATTTACTTCAGCCCGTGATCCAGGCATCATTCCTCGCAATTTACATCCACCAGAGGAAGAGTTTTGCTATGAATCTTCAGAGGCTGGCGGCAGGCCCACACCGAGTCTGCAATTCCCCCGCACCAAAGAAGTCCTTGTTAACGGTGTTCCTGTCAAGGTGAAATACTGTGAAACATGCATGCTATATCGTCCACCCCGATGTTCTCATTGCTCGATATGCAACAATTGTGTGGAGAAATTTGATCACCATTGCCCTTGGGTTGGGCAATGCATTGGAATGGTATGTAGCTAAAAATCTCAGTAATCCGACTTTTTTCAAGATTCATGGGACATTTGCAATGTGTTCTTATTTGTTATTATGTTTTTCACACATGCATCTCCCCTTGGTAATACTTGAATTTCCATGAAACTGATTAAAAATACCTGATGTAGTGTAGTTGGGTATGATATGCTTCATTTTTTTTTAAAAAATATTGTATAATCATTAAAAATGCTAGTCTTTTAGAATTGAAATGGTTAAGGTCATTGTGCAAGTTTCTTCAACTATAGATGCCATGTCGTGTTTTCTGTAATGATTCGAAAGTAAAGATTCTCCGAGCTGGTTGATGCATCCATTTGACTTCAAAAACTATTTCATAGGTCAAAGCCTTGAGAAAGGCTCCAAGTTGATGTTATGTCCTGGTATGGTGTCTAGCCAATTTGCTGCTTTGTCTTACTTTGATGAATGAGACAGGATTGACCTTTCATTGGACCTCTTTTTTTTCTCCCCCTTTTTTTTTGTTCTTATTTGTATTTTCCAAATTTAAATTGCTTAGTTCACTACTGTTGCTTGCCTTTTCGTTTTCTCATTTTCTATCCTCACTCTCAACCCCCCCCCCTCTCTCTAGTTTCTTCCTCTCCTCTCTTCTCTTTTCCCTTAATAGAGTTGAAGTTGAATAAATTTTCGTGATGTGCTATATGAGCATCTGGTGTAGAGATCTCTGAACTAGGAATTTTTTCCTATGAAAATCATGCATCTAGTAGTTCATTGCATCTACTTTGATGTGTAAAATGGGACCATGTTCTTTCTACTGTCCTCTAATAACATGTTTGATGCTTTGTTTGACACTGTATTTCTTGATTTTTGCAGCGCAACTACCGTTTCTTCTTTATGTTCATATCTTCTGCAACCCTTCTGTGCATCTTCGTATTTACACTGTCAGCTTTGTACATAAAATTTCTTGTGGATGAGCATCACAATGTGTGGAAGGCCATAAAAGAATCACCAGCCTCAGTTGTGCTAATGTCCTACTGCTTTGTTGCATTGTGGTTTGTTGGGGGTCTCACCGGCTTCCATCTGTACCTGATAAGCACGAACCAGGTAAATCTCACATCCCTCTTTACATTTTTTTCTTTATTACACGTCTCTGTTCCAATTTGCTTGTTTCATGGTTTATGTAATTTTTTTGGCATTGCCTTTCTGGCTTGACAACAATAGGTTTTCAAGTACCAACTGTATGAAGTCTGGCTTATAAGTGGCTGATCTTGTTTGTATGATGTGCTTTCATTTTGTCTGTTTTCCTATAATGAGTTTCTTTTTTTAAAAAAAGCTAGATTTCTACATCAGGAAACAGGCATTGTTCATACGTGGGATCTGTTATTGATTGTTTCTGCAATCCTCGTCTTCGAAGCTGTAGATTTGGCACCATAATGTGACCCTCTCCCCCTTTTCCCACCCAAAGGAATAAAATTAGAAGTATCATAATATTATTGATTTGTATATGTTTTATTTTGGTAATTAGCTTTTAGCTACTTAATAATTGTATCTTTTTCCCCAGACCACTTATGAAAACTTCAGATACAGAGCAGACAACAGGCGAAATGCTTTTGACCGTGGTTGCATTTCCAATTTCTTTGAAGTGTTCTGCTCAAAGATTCAGCCTTCAAAGAACAAATTCCGTGCATATATACAAGAAGAGGCACCGAGGATACCCATGAGACCAATGCCTGAGGTAGCTGAAGAATTTGGTGAAGACAGGCGAACAAAAGTGGAAGATGATCTGGAAATTGGCGACGATATTCTGAAACTATCTCAAAGACGTGATTATTATGGGACTGATGATCTCAAAAGGAGAGGTAGCGATGGGTTTTCTCGTGAATCTGCTGAATCTGATTATAATAATTTGGGCTCAGAACTGCAAGCTTCTTTGAGTCAATTAGGGACGGAGCAATCTCGAAGAGCTGGAAGTTTTGGCACATCACCGCACATCCTTGCTTTCAATGCCATTGTCTCAGATAGTAAAAAACCTTGATGTTAACTTCTTGAGCATTGCTATTGATACTTCCATGTATTCTCTTTACTCATGTTCAGTTGAAAAACCATCAATTGTTAGCCACTATTTTTTTTCATCTTTTGGTTTTCGCTCAGATTGGGCTGGTAGGGTTGTAGGCAGGCTTGGGTTGGTGGGAGATGGTGGGCAAAACTCGGTATATATTTTCATGGATGAAAGACTTTCTATGTTGTATTTAGTTGAATTTGAAAGTATAGATTTACAAACAATTGCTAATGTTCTAGAGATTCAATTCTTGATGTTTGTAAAACTTTCAAAGATAATTCTCTATGCATTATTTTTCTGAAAATTGGTAACTTGTTATGTACTTAAAAATTTGCTGAACTTTCTATATCTAGCGTGCTACCAAATTAAAATTGCCTTATTATTTTTATTTTGTATACATTTACTATGTATAACTATATAAAAAAGATTAAAACTCCAATAAGTTCGAGGTGTTATTTTCGAAGTAAGGTAAAAGTCGTAAGACGCTACCTGTTGTTAGTCGTTAATAATCAAACTAAGCACCATAAGGAGGCGTTTGGTATGTGGGAATTGGGGGTTGGGAATGGGAATTGAGGAGGTAGGAGTATATATTGTCCTGTTTGTTTTGTGGGAAGGGGAATTGTAGGTGGGATTGAGATTGGGAATGAAATTAAAATTGTTCTATTTCCATGATTTAATCACTTAGAGGGCAAGTAATCGATATGGGAATTGGGAATAAAGAGGAAAAGATTATTTTACCATTAATAAAAAGCTTAAGGATATAACATTAATAAGGGTGGTTTGATAATTTACAATTTTATTTCCCATCAATTCCTTCACAACCCAAACAAGGAACTGCCAATATTTTATTGAATTCCCAAATATAAATCTCAATCCCATTCTCAATCTTCTACGGGCTGTTTGGTAAGTGGGATTATGGGTTTGGAATGGGAATAATAATCCCTAGTCTTTGTAAACCCATGTTTGGTTGGTGGGAATTATAACATAAAATGAAAATGGGCTTGGGAATAATTAGCTTCTATTCCCTACATTTTATTAATTGGGGATGGCAAGTAATATTTTGGGGAAATTCACTAAATTGTTAAAAAGACAATACTACCCTTGTTTTGTGGCATATATTTTTGTGACATATGATAATAAAAGGGCAATCTTATAAATTTTGCTTTTAATCCCTCTATTATTCTTACATGCCAAACATAGGATTTAAAATTTCTCAATCTTATTTTCGAAATATGCCAAATAAGGAAGTGAGATTATTTTATGAATTTCCACCGATTAATTCACATTCCCGCTCCCACCCTATATTCCCTAAATTCCCAATCTCATTTGCCAAATGCCCCACTAGTCCTCAAATTTATTTCCATTTGCCAAGCGCCCGTAAAAGTAATTAACGCTAAGACGACTCCGTAGGAGGGTAATATAAGAGTGGAAGAAAGTAGAAAGAAAGAAGCAAAAAGGCAGGAAACATCGTAGGGAGGAGTGAAAGAGAATGAGCGGGGAAGGGTTACCGACGAAGGAGGCAAACGTGCTGAAGGGACACGAAGGCGCAGTATTAGCAGCCCGCTTTAACGCCGACGGTAATTATTGTCTGAGCTGCGGCAAAGACCGCACCATTCGCCTTTGGAATCCTCACCGTGGTATTCACATCAAGTCCTACAAATCTCACGGCCGTGAAGTTCGCGATGTCCACGTCACCCCGTATATTACTCCCTTTTCTTTTTTTTTTTCTTTAATTTATTATTTTGGCTGATTTTATGAATATTATTATCTTTCATTGAGTTTTATGAATTTGGGATGTTATGTTTGTTGATTCTATGTTATGCAAATCATAATGCAGTTTTTTCTAGCTGAGGAGAACTATTCTTGTTGCTAGCTAAGTAATATTTCAGTGTATCAATGTTAGAGTTCATTATCCTAATTTCATGTCTTTTAATTGTTATGATTATGTTGAAACCATTGTAGTCCACTTGTGAGTGTCCCACGCTGGGGAAAGAGTAGAGGTGGTTCCACCTTATGAGGTAGAGGAGTTAACTCCTACTATTGTCAATTGGTTTTTAGTATGGGAGCTCCGAAGCCTAGTTTGTGGACCAAACTCTCCTCCTCCTTGTTCGAATTGCCCAGACCCATTTCATATTGTCTCGAAATTTAACAGATTAGACCTATTCTTGTTGCTAGCTCAGTAATATTTCACTGTGATGATGATTTCATTGATTTGGGAGTTAAGTGTCAAGGATCCATATAGCTTGACAAAACATAACAGAACAAACTCTTATCTTGAAACAAGTATATATCAAAATAGATAGCAAAAGATAGTGAGCCTTCATGTTGAGTTGAAATTATAAATTTTGCCCAGTGACCCATGAAATATGACACTTGAATGGTGACATTATTGTTAACTAATTATGGTGACATTATTGTTAGCTTCAATTCTTGGTTTATGTCCACGCAATGCCTACATCTTAAATTAATAATGGATGAGCACCCATCAGAGAAGGCCTGTGTTCGGACTTCAGAACTCGGGGCATTTAGAAAAGTGTTTATAAGAACTGAAATTGTGGAAATTTTTTTTGCATGATTGAGGATATGCCAAATTTGTAACAAGTTTCAAACCATTTTTAGCTTGGGCGTAAGGAATTTATCTATCCTATCACATGCACACTTGACTTGGTTTGCTGAGCAATCATCAATGTCTATTTCAGGGACAACTCAAAGATCGTCTCATGTGGTGGTGACCGTCAAATATTTTACTGGGATGTATCTACTGGCCGGGTTATACGCAAATTCCGTGGACATGATAGTGAGGTTAGTTCACAGACAAACTTTGTACACCTGTTTTTGGTTATCACTGAACTAGTTTTGTATCTCTTTAAATTGGCATCGATAGTGCGAATTATTATTTGAAGGAGAATAGGGGAAGGTAGGAGAGCGATGAGGGCTTGCAGTTCTTTACTATATCTTTCCCTGAAGGAACTGACCTCATTACTTTATTCAAATCGGGGAAAATGTATTCGTCACTCTCCTTTCGTCTTCTCTCCAAAGTATCCCATCCAAAAACACTGTAAAAGTACTGAAGTTGCGCTGTGGAATCAGAATGTCTTGTGATTTGTTGATTTGATGTGAATGTTACAGTTATAAAAGGAAGGACTTGGGAAAAGGAGATGACTCTTTTTTCCAACCATTTCATAAACAGATCATGTTTCACACAAATCACAAGTTTTTCTCCCTTACTCTCCTATTGATCATAACACCCTTTATCCTGGGTCTTGAAAAGCAATGTGTTATGTTGGAGGATTGTCATTTAAAGCTTGAGGTCACAGCTCAGCCCTTTGATTAACCAATTGAACTATGTTAGGGGATTCAATATCTATGTTGCAGAAATCTGCTTGTAAAGCATCAGAATTTCCTTTGTGGAGTTGATTTGTCATTCTTCTCTCATTGCAATAATATGATGGACTTTTAATTTCCTATTCCGCAACTTGTGTCTAGTTGTTAGATTATGAATGTTGTTTAACGCATTTGTTGATGCTATTCAGAAGAGCTCATGTAAGCTTGGGGAAATGAGAACCATCTTGTTGTTTAATCCTTCCTCAATTTGCTCATTATGTTTTGCTATGAGAAATTTCCAGCGTCAATTAATATACTAAGTATATAACTTCAAGGCTTGGTTTCTATTTGACTAGTCTAATTACCCTTTGTCCCTATAAGAAATGGATAATTTTACCACCTTTGCATGAACATCCTATGATATGTTTTTATGTCTGTTGCTTCATGAATGGGAGAGCTTCTTAACCTCTTTTTTTTCCAGGTAAATGCGGTGAAGTTCAATGAGTATTCATCTGTTGTTGTATCAGCTGGGTATGATCGTTCCGTGCGTGCTTGGGATTGTAGATCTCATAATACTGAACCGATTCAGGTTGGAGTTCCTCTTTTCAGTTGATTGTCTCTTCTCAATTCTGTCCCTTTATAGTGCTTGAGTTGTTTCTGTGCTTTGAAGTTTAAATAATCGTATTGTATTACTTTGTTATGGTAGTCATCTGTTTGATTCTATGACATATATGTTGCTTGTGATTCTAGATTATTGATACTTTTCAAGACAGTGTTATGTCAGTATGCTTGACAAGTACTGAAATTATTGCTGGAAGCGTTGATGGGACTGTCCGAACATTTGATATTCGCATTGGTAGGTATGTACATTGATTTATATCAAGTTAGGATCAGTAATCACTGGCAACTACATAAATTGTTTGCGAAGTGCTCCATATTTTTTTCTCAGCCTATTTGGTAGGCGGTAGTGAACTAGTGAGTGGTCATATACATGTAATAGTAATCAATTTGTTTGTATTTGTACAAGGAAAGTATCATGTCCTTGTCCATAGTAATGCAACTCTATCCCCAATTATTTTTATGTATGTGTTGAGGGGCGACTAGGAGTAATGGATTAAGAGTGATAATGGGAATTTAAAAATAAATCCACCCACTCGAAGGTCGAGAAGCTTTACCATGACAGTGACATGGGACTTCCTTGCAAGATTACATATATTCTCATGACCACCATCACCGTCTACCACACCCCTATTATCTAGTAACAAGATAGGATTATAATTTCGTTTTTCTGGATATAAACAGGGAACTATCTGATAACTTAGGACAACCTGTCAACTGTATTTCATTGTCAAATGATGGTAACTGCACATTGGCCAGTTGTCTAGATTCTACTTTACGTCTTCTTGACAGGTGTGTAAATTACCTTCTTCATGTTGGTCTAACTGTATAAGGTTTGAGCTGGAAAATTTTCTGTTAATGCATTAAATGATTGTTAAATAATAGGACTTCTGGGGAGCTACTTCAAGAATACAAAGGCCATGTGTGCAAGGTTTGCATGCCATTTTACCCTTCTTAAGAAAGTGCACTGCAGTAGTAATCAACTAATCATCTTCCGCATTATTTGATAATTATCCATATTTCTGAATATTGTTTTTCTACTCTCATCAGTGTAATTTTCTTATGATTTGATTGGTATTTCCCGTTGTATATCTTGATTAATATTTGTATTCCTTGTTTTTTTGGACATTAGTCATACAAATTGGACTGCTGCCTGACCAATAGTGATGCTTATGTGGCTGGTGGTTCGGAGGATGGCTATGTTTTCTTCTGGGATTTGGTGGATGCTTCTGTGGCGTCAAGATTTCGTGCTCATGCCTCAGTGGTAATGTTATCTAGTACATGCTTATTCTTGTTTGTACATGATTCTTGCTAACTGGTCGTATCTCTTAAAGAAAAAAAGCATATAAAGTTATGTCTCACATTCCCCTGAAGTCAGCAAATGTTTCCTGGTTCTGTGGTGCCGATGTTGAGAGATATGTCACAATCAGACGTTATTGAACTGGAAATATTACGAGTATACAATTATCTTCAACAGTGAAGAGATTTTTTTAGTGTCTTGGCTCTGAAAGCAACCTTTTCACCATAGATCTAATTTTAGTTGGAATAAAAATCATAGCCCTTGCTCATCAGCCCATTCTCCAGTTTATTCTAGTGAACGCTTGTTATCTGAACCCAAATCAGTGCCAGTTAATAAATTATGCACCCAAGACCTAAAGCTACTTCAGTCAATGTGGCATTGAGTATGCACGCTCTAAATTGCCTTAAGTGGGTTGGAGAGTTGGCAACTTGATGCCGTGAATGCTATTGTATAGTTTACTTACTAGATGTGGTTTTGTCTTTTTTTTTTTTTTTTTTTTTTTTTCCATCCGCTGAATGTTCCAGCTGACAGTTATGCATTGTAGGTTCCCATAGGAACAGAACACTTCATAAACTGCTTCTATTTAACTTTCTCTCGTGTGTTTTAGCTTTCCTACCAAGGCCCTGCTAAATACTACTCCATACTACACTTCACAATGTGCGTCTATTTACTTAAAGTTTCTTTTCCCCTGTCCAGCTTAGCAATGCCTTGTCAGTTTAAAACCCCTACACATTCTTACTTTCCAAAGTGAATACCAACAAAACTAGCAACTCCTTAACTTGTGTGCATAACCTTAAAGGACACTTACTTTGGAATGGAAGGCATATATTTTTGCCTGGTCCTATGCCGCTGGTTGATTTTAGCAACTTGGATATTTTGACAATTATTTCTACTGTATATTGTTGGCTCATTGCTCAGATGTCTATTAAAATGCTGTTATTGTAGATTTAGTCATAAAACCCTACACTCTGATTTCTGAATATACTGATTTATTGACAATGACTCCTGCCCTTTTTAACCAGGTTACAAGTGTAAGCTATCATCCGAAGGACGACTGTATGATAAGTGCCTCCGTTGATGGAACCATCCGTGTCTGGAAAACGTGAGAAAAAAGCATGAGGACACTGACTCCTACCATTGCTTGTCCCTTCGATTTTATCAGACAAGCTCAATACTTACGTGTGCTGCTGCAATCTAATGCTATTGTCCTTTCAACTTTGTCAACATCTATCCAAGTGATGAACCAATGAAGTCCAGTTCTACGGTGATCACTATTGTTGTCATCTACTCCAACTCCCTCTCGGATGCTTGGTGTTGAGTTTCGATCTAGTACAGCAGTTTGTTTTGTACGAACTCTCAATTGTTTTACCAGGTTATGATGAAGTGTAAGAAATCAGCATCGATCCCCTATAGCGGACTACTCGTCCCTTAGTCTCTATTACTTTGTAAATTGTAGAAAACACGATAACTTGTGCACAATGTTAATCACACTCAAGAGTAGGGAAAAAGAAATATCATAGGACTTTTTGGTCAATAAACACGCAAAAAAGAAGACTTTCTTTTTTCTTTTTGGATTTAGGGTTCGGAGCGAGTTCAAAGAAAGAAAGTCTAATTCCTTGGCTACGAAGTTCTTGATAACTTTAATTGAATAAAAAAGTAAAAGTAAAATTAAGGAGCATGCAGAGACACACACTGAGGATATAACATTAGATTTAGTGCTACTTGAGGACTAACAAATTTGTTTTCTGTTTTCAAGTACCTTTGATAGAGTATAAAACATATTCCTGGGCCTTAACCATCAGTTTAAACTTTTGGTTGAGATGGTCCACTAACATGGTATCGGAGCCAGCGTGACACTAAAAAAGATCACGGGTTCGAATCTCATCCGCCCCTCCTCTGTGTTGGGCCTTTCATGTGAGGGGGAGTGATAGAGTATAAAACATATATTCCATTTAGTGGTCAGATTGATAACACGGTGTATTATATATAATATTTTCTTCCATTTAGTATCTATAATGTTAGTTTAAATTAACAATATTAGATCCAAACGCTTTTAAAAGAATTACTCGTTTTATAATTACTACAAACTCGAAAAATAAACGAGTAGCAACAAGCCGAACCATTATGCATAAAATCATACTCGTTTTAAGAATGTTAATTCTTAATTTATCATTGTCATATTTACAATATAATGCAGAAATTCTCCATACTAATTAATCCAAAACTCAAACTTAGCTTCAATTAGTAAAAGATACCAAAATCCACGCTAATTACATTGTTATAATTATACTTAGTAGCATATAATTAATTATATAGTTGCATAATAATTAACAGGCTTAGTAAGATTATACAACTCAACAACAGAACGATACCTCCTATTTTTCTTTCTTCGATAATCAACATCTTCTAATTCTCCTGCCACGTCACAACCTAACGACGATAACCTCAACGATATTATCCTCTTCTTATTATTATTAACATCCTTTTTTTCGTTCTTCCTCTTGTTGTTGTTGTTGTCGTTGTTGTTGTTGTTAAACTCGACACGACGATGTTTAACACCATCAACGTTGTCGAGGTGGTGGTTGTTATTACAACTACAGGAGCTACTCGTTGTCGCCGTGGTTGCGGTCATTGTTGTTTCACCTTCGCTTAGCTGAACTAGCTGCCGTGCCACCTCCATGTCTAAGTCCGTTACATAAAGTTCTTCCATGATTATATTAAAATTTTCTTATACTAAAGTTTGGTCGAATATTTTTTTTTTTTTTTTTTGATGTATAAATATATGGTAAGGCGGTGTTGAGGGTTAAGGTTGAGGAGAGAGAAAGAGGAAGAAGCGTAGAAAATACAAGGAAGAAAACAAGGAAGGGTGTATCGCATGTTTTGGAAATTTATATTTATAGTATTATTATTATTATTATTAATAAAAAATAAAATTAAGATAAAGAATAAAAGAGGAGGTGGAAATAAGGATTTAACACGCAAATTAACGTCTATTTTTTGGCCTAATTAATTAAATTGAGAACACGTCATGTAAAATTATACCGACTTAAAACTCTTTGAAGTCCGTTTGTTTTTATTATTTACTTTATTTGCGAAACTTTCAAGCCAAGGCAACTATCTTTTAGCCTTTTCAAGTATCATGATCTCATTATTTTTATTTATTTTATCTAGACTTTCGAAGAATTTTTCAAGATTATTCAAATACAAAGTGTATATTTGTGTATATATTAGTAAGGAGTAAAACCTTTAATTTTTTTTTTTTGTTGGTTTATATCTAGTCAAATGATGTGAGAATAATTAATGCATTATAATCTTATGTTCAAAAGTTGGTAGTTATTGTTTAATGATCATGTGTTGTAGTTTTAATACAAAATTTATGGTTATTTGGCCATTAACATATAAATGCCTCACACAAGCTAAGGATCTATATTATTGCTAAGTTCATCGATATCACGAATTTACAATGACTTAAGTAATTATGACAGATTAAATCAATATAGAATGTATCTATTGTACTCGTACTTATTAAATTGAAACAATAATAAGTAAAAAGTTGTCCTTATTGACTGATATCGTATTAATTGTTTTAAGTTTGTCTATAGTGCATTCGTACAAGCAATAAGTTACATTTGATAAATATACTACATAGTATACATCAACTAAACTAGTTTTTTGGCCCGGGCGCTGCTCCGGGTCATTGTATGTATATAAAAATACTATATTAAAAAAAGTAAATACATTAGCGGTTTTATAAAAACAATATTGACCATTTGTTATTTCATTATTTAATATGAAGTAACCTAAATGTTATATCGTATCAATTTATTTTACTTGTTAAAGGAATATTTTTTTTGGGATTTGTTAAACATCGCCCACAAATTACTACATAAAGCCCGCATTTTATAATTTTTTGACAAATTTGCCCTTTTTATAATTTTAACCGAAAACAAATTTTTCGCACTAAAAAAATGTGGATCACCGAAGAGACGTCGTCGGCGGCGATATGCACCGGAGAGTCGCCATCGTCGCCGGAAAACGAGGTTCGTAACGTATCGTAAGGACGAAATGGTGGCTGGCGCCTAGCCGAGAAGGCCATGCCGTGGTTGTGGCGCCTAGCCAGGACGCCGCCACCGTGGCATAGGCGCCTGGTGGGGAAGCCTCACCCATGGGAGTGGCGCGTGGCCAGGACGCCGGAGCCACGGCCGGGGCGCCTGGCCAGGACGCCGCCACCATGGCGGCGGCGTCCTAGCCAGGCGCCCCCACCGTGGCTCCGGCGTCCTGGCCAGGCGCCACTATGGGCTGCTTTAAAATTTTTTTTTTTTAATTTAATTTCTCTTTTTTTTTTCTTTTTTTTTTTGTTTTGAATTTTTTTTTTGTTTATTTGTTTGTTTTTGTTTTTTTTTTTTGATTTGTTTTTTATAATTATGTTTTTTTTATGGATTTTTGTTTGCGTTTGTTTAATTTTGTTTTAATTTTTTTTTGAATTAAATTTTTTTTAATAAAGTTTTTTTAATACATCTTTTAAACCAAAACAAAAAACTCACAAAACTTAAAAAATATAAAATTATAAAAACTTAAAAAAAGAAGAACATCAAAATTTTTAAAAAAATTTATAAAAAAAAAAAGGGAACATAAAATTTTTTTTAAGTAAAAAAACAAATTCAAAAAAAAAAAAACAAAAACAATAAACAAGAACATAAAATTAAAAATTAAAAAAAAAAAAAAAAGAGGAACATAAATTTTATTTAAAAAAAAGCAACAAAATTTAAAACAAAATAAAAAAAAAATCAGAAACATAAAATTTAAAATTAAAAAAAAGAAAAACAAATTTAAAAAAAAAAACCAAAAAAAAATTAAAAAAAAAAAATATATAACGAGGCGCCTAGCCCAGACGCCGTGACGGTGGCGGCGGCGCCTAGCCCAGACGCCACTACCACGGCGGCGGCGCATTGGCCAGACGCTGGTGCCGTGGTGGTGGCGTCTGGGCTAGGCGCCGCCGCCACCGTCACGGCGTCTGGCCTAGGCGCCTCCGCCGTGGTGGTGGCGTCTGGCCTTGGCGCCGCCACCGCCTCCGAACTTTTTTTTTTTATTTTTTAAAAACAAAATTAATAAAAAATACCTTCTCGCCGGAAAACCGCTGTCCACCCGCCGCCGGTGCCGCCACTTCCTTGCCGGGCCGCCTCGACATCGCTCGGAAAGTTTTTTAGAGAGAGAAAGTGGAAGTAGAGAATAGAGAGAAGAAATTGTGTTTTTTACTTTGAGGGCAAAAGTGTCATTTCACTCTAATTTTGTGGGCTTTATGTGGAGATTTGCGGGCGATGTTTAGCAATCCACTTTTTTTTCCCAACTACATATCATAAAAAATGTTTCTTCAAGTAACATATTTCGTAGTTAAGGTAAATATTATACTGTATTAATTTATTTTACTTGTTAAAGGGATTTTTTTTTTCCAGCTATATATCATTAAAATTCCTTCTAGTAACAAATTTCGTGGTTAAAAGAAAAAAACCTTAATTTAAATTTGGGTTACACATTTTAATACTTAAATATAAGTATATAACATATACTTAAGGTTGAGTAATTGAAAGAAAATAAATTAATTTTATAATTATATTGTTGTCAAAATATACACATATAAGTTGGCAATTAAAATTTTTGATTTTTTGAACATGAATAACTCTTTTTAATACAACTTTATTATCATTAAATTTATTGTTGGAGTGATGGTTAAAGTTTAACTTTACGGGTTGTTTATTAATTTTAAGATAAATTTTTAATCTATATGTCAAATTTTAAAACATATCACTGATACAAAATTAGTTAGGAATTGAAGTGTTTTTGTGATGATTTGAACTATATAATAGGCATGTAATGACTAATAATAATAACATTGGTGAAAAACATTTCTTGACCTGTATTAACCTGAAATAATGACCCTGACCGAAATGACTCGTGACCCGACCCGATTGACAGGTCTACACACAGTAATAAAATTATATTAGATTGTAAAGTATATTGTTTTAATTGATTAGAATACATTATAAATAATGGATGTGGTGCATTTTGAGCTAATTCCTTCGCTCCAAAAAAAATACTATGATACAAAAAATAATTTATATGATAATTTATGAGTGTTATATTTTTTTTAATAAAATTATAATTTAATTTATACATACGAAATATTGGTACTTTATCAAAAATAAAACTCTAATTAACAATTTTATCCTAAAATTCTATCCAAATTTGATTGAAAATAAAATTCTAAATTAACTTTTTTATCCTACAAATTGAATTCTATATAACTTAATCTTACGTGGCGCAACACTTGGCGAAAAGTTGGAACGCAAAGTGTTGCTATTTTGTAGCATGGCTAAAAGTTTAGCTTTATATATTAGTTATATGATGATTATTGATGTATGCAATGTACATATATATTAGCCAGCTTTAAAATATATATTAGCTAACTTTAAAAGGAATAAGCTAATCGCCCTTAAAAAAAACTTGAATACAATGTAAAGTCGATAAGTTGTGAATTTAATCCTAAATCAGCCACCGTGGAGAGTACAGAGTAGCCTTGTGTACAAATGTTGATCACCCTAGTCACGAAAGCGTACGTGTCCCTCCAGCCAATCTTTCGATCGAAGCACCCAGTAACCTTCGAGCAACCTGGAGACCAGACCTTGCTGCAGTAAACCCACACTACTTCCACCCTTCGGACTGTAAATTCAGTATTCAAAGGGAGAATATATTGTTGTCACGTTCTATTTTTTTTTTAAATAATAGAAAAATAGGTTAATTGATTGATTATTGTAAATTTTCAAGAACCTAAAGACTCAAAGATTGACTTAATCTATATTCTATATTCCCAATTTTGAACCTTGAGATTCAAACTTCTCCTTAAGTGGGCCAAAGTTTAATCTTGACTTGTTTGACAACTTCACATCATTAGTTGCTGAATTCTCAAACAACTTCACATCATTTGTTATATAAGTCTTTTTAGAATTGTGGCATTTAATTTAGGGTATACGTTTTAATTTGATTAGTCAATGAGGCATATATAAGGTCCTTAAGCTAGTATTCTAGAGTAACTAACTAAAGAGTATCTTCAACATCTCCCTAAGTAACTATATATATGGAATCTTCGTTGCTAGCAAATTGGTCAAAAGCGAGCTTAATTCAACATTATGACATTTATATGTTTGTTCCTTAACGTATTAGATGGGTATTTGGCTAATTATGTCGAGTATTGACTTGAAATAAGAAAAAAATAAAAAAACATAATTATGTTCAAATAGTGTAGATAGCAACTAGGTTGGTTAGGTTCTAGAGCTTGAGTCGGCATTAAAACAATTAGACATACAAGAGATCAAAACCTCTTCCAAATCAAGAAAATTAATAGAGGATTATCGATGTTAATGATTTTAGGTGGGTACTCCATACAACAATTTTATACATTGTATATCATAATGACCTAACAAATATTTTTAAGCATGACTGCTGTTGATTATGTGTAGGAACTAGGTAGGATTTAAGACCATGATGTTAGAGGAGTGACCAACTAGCATTACAGACAACATTATATGAACATGGATTGGTTGCCTCCCCTACTATCCCTCGAGTTTTCAACACCATATCCTGAAATCTCGATCCAAAAGTAGTATAATATGCGTTGAATTATGTATTTTGGCCCTGAAAAACAGTGTTAGTTCTTCTAAGATAGATTATGCATTGAGATGCTTCATGAGGTATTGGGCCCCGAGAAACACACTGGGTGCCCAGAATCATGTCAATATAAAATTCAATTTTATTTTATCTTCTTAACATGTGATAGGATAGAGAATAAGACACTTCCATGAACCACAAGATAATTCTCGCGTGGCCTCTTGGGTGGTTGGTATTAGGGGTGAGCATGTAACGGTTCGGGTACCCGATAACCAATATCACTAAAAGTGATATCCATAACCCAAACCGATAAGTTCGGGTACCCGGACTTCGGGTACTCGGATCGGAACGGTTATCGGGTACCCAATAAAGTATCCAATAATGATAATTAAACTTAAAAAATTAGTTATTATGATATTTTTTAAAACTAATTAACAACAATACCACATGATCTTGACCAAATTATTAATAACATTACTAATCATTGATATTATATAGTGATTATGAAGTAACGTAAGAGTTTAAATATTGAAAAAAATAGATTTAAGTAGGAAAAAAAAAACAAAATAATTACTTATCGGAACGGAACGGGTAACCATTAATTTTAAAATGATACCCAAAAACCATACCCGATAACAAATTATCGGAACGGGTACCCGAACCGTTATGGTTATCGGATCGGGTACCCTAATTTTTGGAACAGTAACGGAATGGGTTTTCGATTTTTCGGGTAGTTTTGCTTAGCCTTAGTTGGTATGATCCACTTTGCTTTTTAACTATTAATTTATCCGATTATGGACACACTCATATCAATTAACTCAAGACCACCATGGCCTTTACTAGATGGAGATCAAGTATAATTACAAAATTGTTATTTTTTATTACTAATATGGAACTCTAGGTGTGAATTTTCTTTACAAGAATGAGTTATAGATTCGCAAAATAATAAAACTTCACCAATCACCCGACTAAGCAATTCAAACCTGAATTCTACCCAAAATTACTTTATCCACACATTTGATATAAACGAATTAACCTAACAAATTGCTATTCATATAAACAATTGACATTAAATACTTCCTCCGTTCTATTATTATTGCAACAAGGAGGAAATTACGCATCCCAAACCACATTTTATATGCTAAATATCTATAATTGTGTAAGAGTAAAAATTATAAAAAGTTGATACTGTGAAAGTATTTTATGAGACAAATCCAATAAGATCTCACATGGCTATATTTTACTTAACGTATAAATCTATATTATAAGGTTAAACAAGAGTGATGAATAGTGCAAAAAGTCCATTGTTACAATATTAATAGAACGGAGGAAGTAGAATATAACTTGACACAAACCAAATTGCAATCTATAAAAACAAGTGAACAACTTTTCACCTGAACACGACCCAAATCCGAGCCAAAAGATTATGGCCATGTTTGGTAATTGGCTTTTTAATGGCTTTTTGGTTAGCTTTTGGCTTTTGGCTTTTTAAGGTGGTCAAACAACCAAAAAATGTGTTTGGTAATTGGCTTTTTAGTCAGCGAAAAAACTGGCTTTTAAGCCAAAATGAAAAAGCTGCTTTGAGTAGCTTTTTTGTTGGTTTTTGGCTTGTTGGCCCACAAATTATCTAATAAACAGCCAACAACCAACAATAAATTTACCAAACGTTTATATAAACAACCAATTTCAAAAGCCATTATAAACAGCCAAACATTCCAACTAGTCAAACAAGCCTAGTGAACCAGCCAACAGCCAACCGCCAACCGCCAACAACCATTTGCCAAACAAGGCCTATAGATTCCATTCGAAACTAACTTCAGAATTCAGATGATATTTTCAAGTTCTAAACACCCACTTGAGCCCAATAGCTATTACGAAGTCTCTCTCACCCAGCCCAATAAAATAGAATAAGTCCAGCCCATAAAAACGGAACCCTAAAAATGGTTTAGAGGCTTTCGCTCTATTTATCAGCCAAAAAATAATCACAGTATAAATTGCTCGCAACTAGGGTTTTAGCTGACCTCTCACTTATTTTGGTTTATCGCAGTCGCTGGGACTCAGGTTCTCTCTCTCTCTCTCATCTTCTCTCATTCGCACTTCTCTGAAATCTTTGTAATTTGCTTCTCTTCTTCGATTTAATTCATTCGATTCATGCTCTAATGAATGATTGATTGTTGCGTGTTCATTTCATCATCTGTTTCATTTTTATTTTTGATGCGTTTTTTGGTGAATGAAGTATTAATTTTATTGAGTTATTCATGGTTTTCTTGTTTTTAATGTTTTCATTTCTTCGAATTTGGATCTGTTTTTGTGCTTAGATTAGTGAGTTGTTTGATTATATGAAATCATTGTAATGTATGCGTTATTTATAATTCACTAAATTTGTAAGTGTAAATACTGTGAAATTTAGTATTAGATGAACATTGTTCTAATTTGAATATAAATGTGGTATTTTTATCATCTTAATTTGTGAGAATTTCTGATTAGTGTTTTGATATGAATGTTCCGCTTAATAAACCCTAATTGAATTTCTTTTGTGTTTGTATTTTATTAGAATCTTTTGATTTATGTATACTTCGCATATAATGATTAAAGAATAATTTTTTGAAGAACTTAAACACTTTTAATTATTACCCAGATTGTGGTTAGTGTTGTTTATCTGATTAATTTGTGATACATGTAAACGCAGGTAAGAAAAAAGTAAGATGTCTCACAGGAAGTTTGAGCACCCAAGACATGGTTCCCTTGGGTTTCTTCCCAGGAAGAGGGCAGCTCGCCACAGAGGAAAGGGTAAGAATTTATCCCGTTTACTCTGATATGTCAATTAGCTATAAATTATAACTAATAATTATTGTTTAAGCTCGGAATTGAATCGAATTGTATATTGAGTAATTATGCATAGTGTTATAGTGTTACATTTCATGTTAATATAACTAGTTAGTCTTATATTTGTCATATATTTACATGTTTAATGCATTGTATTGGAGTTGATTTATGAGTGATCGTGATTTTAGATTGAAAATTTTATTGATTGTATATCAACTAATTATGTACTGTGTTTTGATTAAGATAGTTTGTGTTCAATTAAATAAGTAATTAATCTTAATGTTCAACCATGGAAATGTATGTGTTTGCCTGAATTAGGCCTAAATCTGTGATTTATTTTGCTGTCTTATTTTTAATAAGCTTTGTTGTCGTGTGATTTGTATCAATTTTTTATTTTGGCCTGAATACTATGGAAGCTGACACTTTCTTGAACCCTTTTCATTTTATTTACAGTGAAGGCTTTCCCCAAGGATGATCCCAGTAAGCAACCACACCTAACTGCCTTCCTTGGCAACAAGGCTGGTATGACCCACATCGTAAGGGAGGTTGAGAAGCCAGGGTCAAGTACGTTATATGTTTATAATTATTTTGAATAACAGCAATTTTGTATAGTGATCTCTGTCTCTAATGTTGCTCCTTCGATTATTTTGTATTGTAGAGCTTCACAAGAAGGAGACCTGTGAGGCTGTAACAATTATTGAAACCCCTCCTTTGGTGGTCGTCGGTGTTGTGGGTTACGTCAAGACTCCTCGTGGTCTTCGTACATTGAACACTGTATGGGCCCAGCACTTGAGTGAGGAGCTCAGGAGAAGGTTCTACAAGAACTGGTCTAAGTCCAAGAAGAAGGCTTTTACCAAGTACTCTAGGAAATACGAGAGTGATGAGGGCAAGAAAGACATTCAATCCCAGCTTGAGAAATTGAAGAAGTATGCTAGTGTTATCAGAGTTTTGGCTCACAATCAGGTGAAAACATGCTCTCCATCTAGGAAATTACTTTTTAAATTTGAAGTGTGAAGACAGTTGCATTTATTTAGAAATGATACTTTTACTAGTTTCGTTGGAGAGTGAAAGCAGTTTTATTAATTCATATAATCATATTGTGGCCTATCCTTTGCAAATTTGGTTGTTTGTAACCTTATAGCCATTCGTATGTTGCGTGGTCCCCAGTAATTTAACTTTTGTTGATTTTGGACTTTCAGGTTAGGAAGATGAAGGGTTTGAAACAGAAGAAAGCCCATCTGATGGAAATTCAGGTTAATGGTGGTACCATTGCCCAAAAGGTTGACTATGCCTATGGCTTCTTTGAGAAGCAGATTCCAATTGATGCTGTGTTCCAAAAGGATGAGATGATTGACATCATTGGTGTCACCAAGGGTAAGGGTTATGAAGGTGTCGTCACTCGTTGGGGTGTTACTCGTCTTCCCCGTAAAACTCACAGGGGTCTGCGTAAGGTTGCTTGTATTGGTGCATGGCATCCTGCTAGGGTCTCATACACTGTCGCCAGGGCTGGTCAGAACGGTTACCATCACCGTACTGAAATGAACAAGAAAATCTACAAGCTCGGTAAGAGTGGTCAGGAGACTCACAATGCAATGACTGAGTATGACAGGTTAGTTTGTTACAATCTCATTTCAAGAAATCTTAGATTATTATACACTTCTGTTAATGAATTCATTTATCCACTATGTTGTCTGAATGGTATTTTGTTTCATTTCTTCATTCTGATGGTATCCTATCATTTATGTCATAAATCAGGACCGAGAAGGATATCACTCCAATGGGTGGTTTCCCTCATTACGGTATTGTGAAGGATGATTATATTTTGATTAAGGGCTGCTGTGTTGGTCCTAAGAAGAGAGTGGTGACCTTGAGGCAATCTCTCCAAAAGCAGACATCTCGTGTTGCCCTTGAGGAGGTCAAGCTCAAATTTATTGATACATCCTCCAAGTTTGGCCATGGTCGTTTCCAGACCACCAGTGAGAAGCAAAAGTTTTATGGTCGTCTTAAGGCTTAAGAAGTATTACAGTCAGTTGTTGCGGGCTTGTAGTTCTCCTTGTTAAGACTTCTCTTCACCCCCCTCCCTAAGTTAGTATTTTTGCAGAAAATTGATGAGTGAACTGTTGTCAGCTACATATTTCATTTTAAGGTTTTTTTCCTTGCTGTGGACATCTGAAATTTTGCTGTTAATTAATGGTTACTTTATAGTTGGTTTACTCTATATTTTGTTGTCATATGAGTACAAATTATATCGATTGCGTAATGAGGTTTTGGTTTTAATACGTTTGATGTTTTTTTCACCCATAACTCTAGATTAGGTATTGAAGTTTTGTTTGTTATTAAGTCAACAGTCAAGCTACAAGTCTTGTAGGTTTTCTGAGGAAAGATGGTCGAAATGCATTCAGCTCATTCTATTGTAGTCATAAAAAGCATAATCTTGCCGAGTAAAGTATTGTTTTATGGAAGCCAAATGTGAGGATACATCATATTCAACCCCGGACAATTTTTCTTAGGCTATGTAAAGTCCAAAATTGTTTTTATTGAATAAATTGAATTGAAAGAGTGGGGTGTTCCTCGGGATCATATAAGTTGAAAGCACAAGAGTTCTATCTATAGTCTATACGTTTGCTATTTCAAAATTGTGTTGCATTGTTAGTAAAGAGATAGCAATGGTTCTAATAATCACAAAGTTGCTAGCACCGAGGTCCTATTAGCGGACTTGTAATCATTCATCTTCATTTGTTTTGTTAAAGATTATCAAATTCTCTACTTATGATAGCATCAATATAAAACATATGTTGAGTAACAATGAGATCACCATAATTTGACAAAAAATTAGAAGGCTGGAACTCCTGAAAGGGTGAACTTATTGCCGTTCTTACTCTTGTCTTTAATCAGAGGGCGACGTGCTTAAAGGGTAATCAATGAGAACAAACCAACAATATCGGACAAGTTATAATTTTAAAGGCGATGGACTGTACAAGAAATCATAAATTTGAGTCAAGAACTAAACTATCCAGTGGTTCATTAGGTTGAAAACGAAGAAGTCTTTAAAGCTCATTACATGGATAATGAGTGTAGGTAGAGCTGTCAATTCGGGTAAACGGGTCGGGTTAGGGTTATGTAAGAGTGGGTCAGGTCAACTCGGGTCGGGTCAATTTGGATTAATTCCATAACATATGCGGGTCGGGTTGGGCTGGGTCATGCTTGAGTCGGGTCACGTCAGGTCATATTTCTTATCGGGTTTTGTCAGGTTAATAACAGATCGGGTTACATTTGGGTCGGGTGAACAATAGGTCGGGTTTAATTCGGGTTTTCACGGGTTATGGTAATTCTCGGATTCGAGTCGGGTTCGGTTAGAGTCAATAATTTGCGGGTTAGAATTAGGTCAGGCCATTCTCGGGTTTGAGTCGGGTTCGGTTGAAGTAAAAAATTTGCGGATTATAATCAGGTCGGGTCATTTTCAAGTCGGGTCATTTTCGGGTTCAAGTTGGATTCAGTTCAAGTCGATAATTTGCGTGTTATAATCAGGTTGGTCATTTCCATCGGGTCATTCTCGGATTCAAGTCGGGTTATGTTCAAGTCAATAATTTGCAGGTTACAATCCAGGCAGGTCCTTTTCAAGTCAGGTCATATTTGGTTTCAGCTAACTATAAATAGATGATTATCATTTTTATTAAGCTAATTATTTCCTTTGACTATAATATATATGACAATATACTAGGGAACTATAGTCCATAATTTAGGAAGATAATTATCTCCTTTGACCATATAACAAATATATATTATATTTAACTCTTAAAATTTAAAGATGATATTCCTTTCTTTTGCTGGCCTGGACCGACTTGGTCTCCCTAGACAAAATTCTTTGAAAAACAATAATAAGGTGGTCTAAATTGCATTTAAGGTGATTTAAAATCATGTTAGGAACAATTTGGGTTAAATTTAGGTCGGGTCAATTACAAGTTGTGTTAATTTCGAATCGGGTTAATAACATATCGGGTTGAATTTTTTGGTTGGGTAAGTAATAGGTCTGGTAAAATCCGGGTCAGGTCAATAACAAGTCGGGTTGAATCTTGAGCTGGTCAATAACAAGTCGGGTTGACTTCGGGCCGGGTTTGTAACAGGTTGGGTTAAATTCGTGTCAGGTTAGGAACAGGGCGAGCTGAATTCAGGTCAGGTTATTAAAAGTTTGGTTAAATTCGGGTTTTGATGGGTGAAAACGGGTTAGGATCAATTTCGGTTCAAGTCGGGTCCAGTGTAAGTTAATTAAATTGGTCGTTGTAAATCGGTAAATCGGTGCAAGTTGTAAACCGGCAAATTGGTCGTTTAACATAAAATTGGATGGCTCCACACATCCAATTGGACTCTCGTAGGGTATTAAGGACCATGATAAATATTTCGGCAATTTTTTTTTGGGGCAAAAAAAAGTAAAAAAATTCCAAAATTGAAGGCAAATATCCACGTATTTTGTGAAATTTTGGAAGTTTCGGGGCCCGGTGTCAAAAAGTCTTGAAATTCTATGGGATACATCTTGGGGTCATATAATGCCGTTTGGAACCATATATGATCACTAGTTTTTGTCATAAATGTTCGTGGTAGGCTTGAATAAATTAAATCGATGTAAGTTGAAAACAGGTAAATTGGTCGTTTAACATCAAATTGGATGGTTCCACACACCCAATTGGACTCCCGGAATGTATTAGGGACCATGGTAAACATTTCAGCAAAATTTATTTCTAGGCGATAAAAAGTCAAAAAATGCCAAAATTTAAGGCTAATATCTACGTTTTTTGAAAAAATTTGGAGGTTTCAAGGCCCATTGTAGAAAAATCTTGATATTTTAGGGGATACATCTCAAGGTTATATAATTCTGTTAGAAACCATATATGATCATTTAAATTTTCAAAAATGTTCGTAGTGTGCATGAAATAATGAAATACGAGTAAGTTGTAAACCGATAAATTGGTCATTTAAAGGCAAATTGGATGGTTCCACCAACCCAATTGGACTCCCGTAGAATATTAGGGACTATGGTAAATATTTCGACAATTTTTATTTCCGAACGAAAAAAAGTCAAAAAATTTAAAAATTGAAGGCTAATATGCACGTTTTGAGAAATTTTGAAGTCTTCGGGCCCGATGTGTAACGTCTTGAAATTATAGGGAATACATCCTGTGGTCATATAATGTCGTTTGAAATCATATATGATTTTTATTTGTTGTCATAAATGTTCGTGGTAGGCTTGAATTAATGAAATCGGTGGAAGTTGTAATCAGGTAAATTGGCCGTTTAACAGCAAGTTGGATGGTTCAACACACCCAATTGGAATATCGGAATGTGTTAGGGACCATGGTAAACATTTCAGTAATTTTTATTTCCAGGCGAAAAAATAATAAAAAAATTCCAAAATTGAAGACTAATATCCACGTTTTTTGAAAATTTTTGAAGGTTTCGGGGTCTAGTGTAGAAAAGTCTTTATATTTTAGGGGATACATGTTTGGGGTTATATAATGCAATTTGGAACAATATTGATCATTATAAATTGTCATAAATGTTCATGGCAGGTTTGATTTAATGAAATCGGTGCAAGTTATAAGCTGGTAAATAGGCCGTTTAAAGGAAAATTGTATGAATCCCCCTACTCAATTGGACTTTAGAAAGTTATTTGAGACCGTGGTAAACATTTCGACAACTATTATTTTCGGTCAAAAAAAGTCTTTAAAATCCAAAAATAAAGGCTAATATTCACGCTTTTTGATAAATTTTGGAGGTTTCGGGGCCCGGTATCGAAAAGCCTTGAGATTCTAGGGTATACATTTCGGGGTCATATAATGTCGTTTGGAACCATATATGATCATTATATGTGTTCATAAATGTTCGTGGTAGGTTTGAGTAAATGAAATCGGTACAATTTGTAAACCGTTAAATTGGTCGTTTTAAGACAAATTGGATGGTTCCACCCTGCCAATTGGACTTCCGGAGGGTATTAGGGACCATGGTAAACATTTCGGTAATTTTTGTTTCCGAGTGAAAAAAAGTCAAAAAATTCCAAAATTGAAGACTAATACCAACACTTTTTGAGAAATTATGAAGGTAAGAGTGGGTCGGGTAAATTCGGATTAATTCCATAACCTGTGCGGGTCGGGTTTTGGATGGGTCACGTCGGGTCATATTTCTTATCGGATTTTAGTCAGGTTTAGGTCGGGTTAATAACTGGTCGAGTTACATTCGGGTCGGGTGAACAATAGGTCGGGTTTAATTCGGGTTTTCACGGGTTAAAATGGGTTAGGGTAATTCTCGGGTTTGAGTCGGGTTCGGTTCAAGTTAATAATTTTCTGGTTATAATCAAGTGGGGTCATCCTGGGGTTTAAGTCGGGTTCGGTTCAAGTCAATAATTTGCAGGTTATAATCAGGTCGGGTCATTTTCGGGTTCAAATCGGGTTCGGTTCAAGTCAATAATTGCGGGTTATAATCAAGTTGGGTCATTTTCAAGTCGGGTCATTCTCGGATTCAAGTCGGGTTATATTCAAGTCAATAATTTGCAGGTTACAATCAAATCGGGTCATTTCCAAGTCAGGTCATATTCGGGTTGAACAAACTATAAATGGATAATTAACATTTTTATCAAGCTAATTATTTCCTTTGACTATAATATATATGAAAACATACTAGGGAAATATAGTTTATAATTTAGGAAGATAATTACCTCCTTTGACCATACAACAAATATATACTATATTTAACTCATAAATTTGAGGATGATGCTCCTTTCTTTTACTGGCCTGGACCGACTTGGTATCCATATACAAAATGCTTTGATCAACAATAATAAGGTGGTCTAAATTGCATTTAAGTAGATTTGAAATCGGTTCAGAAACAATGGAGGTTGAATTTAGGTCAGGTCAATAACAAGTCGTGTTGATTTCGAGTCGGGTTAGTGACAGATCGGGTTGAATTTTTGGGTCGGGTTAGTAATAGGTCTGGTAAAATTCGGGTCTGGTCAATAACAAGTTGGGTTGAATTTGGGTCAGGTCAATAACAAGTCGGGTTGATTTCGAGTCGGGTTTGTAACAGATTGGGTTAAATTCAGGTCGTGTTAGGAACTGGTCGGGCTGAATTTAGGTCAGGTTAGTAACAAGTCGAGTTAAATTCGCGTTTTGACGGGCTAAAACGGATTTTGATCAATTTCGGTTCATGTCGGGTTTGGTTAAGTCAATA